GGGCTGCGGGAGCGGGGCCGGGGGGGAATCAGCCGGGGCAGGCTCTCCCCGCCGGGCGCGGGCCCTCGGCGCGGGCCGCCTGTCCTGTCCAGGGGAGCGAGCGCTGCCCTGTGCTCCCACCTCCCTTTAAAACCGATGAGAAAGGTGCCTGCAGCTGGCGGGGCCGGGTGGCGCCTGCCCTGGGCTAGACTCGCCTTCGCGGCATGTTTTTTTAAGAGTCATTCCAAAGCTTTAAATTTTCCCGCTCGCTACCGAACTCCGGTGGGGCTGAACCGTTGAACTTTTAAAAACTTTTCGGAAACCTGAGCTTGCTTTTACTTACCCGCATCTGCGAAAAACTGCAGGAACAGAAAGCGAAGCTGCGTTTGCACTCGGTGGTTGCTCGGGTTTTAGGATGAGCCCGGCAGCACCGAGGGCCGAGCAGGCACCGTGCCCGGTGTTTCCCTTCAGTAATATGTGTGATGTCACAGGCTAGATCGAAAAGTATAATTATTTTGAGGGAAGAACTTCTACTCGGATATCTCCACTGGGGTATCTGGAGGCTTGTCTCTCTTTGGGGCAGGAGCAGTCTGTGACCAGTGTTTTAATCTGTGACATTGCAGAACCAGGTTTTAGATACTTGCGCCTTACTATGTCCCCACTACACTGCATGTAGCATATACTGTACAAGCACTGTAATGTAAGAAGAGAGCAGAGACCCACGTGGCTTTCATTGCTGGAATAAAGGTGTCTGCCCCCAGTTGCTGACCACGTCTCTTAGGAGGAGTTTGTCGTTTGTGGGACTTCACCCTGAAACAGCAGGTCCTGAGCAGAAGCGGGAAGGTCGGGGGTATCTGCCTCTGCTGACAACAGAAGCAGGAACAGGCGCTGCTGGAGTAGAGCAGGAACTTGAAAACAACCCTCAGGGGCTGTACAGTCTCTTCTCAAGAAAGCAACAAAGCAAACAGCGTAATTCCTGAGAGTCAAGAGAAGGGAAAAGATTGCAGTGCTGCTTTCTTAGATTTTTATCCCAGTCTAGACACGGTGCCCTGGAAGATAAGCCCTTAATTTCTGCAAGTCTGGCTGCTCTTCTGAGAGTGATTCTCATTTTTATTGTTAATATAAAAAGAGCATTCCTTGTAAAATAAATGACTTAACGGGTAATATATTTATTTTAATATTTATGAGCTTTCAAGAAAACATATTTAAAATCCACAGATATAAATTTGTTCTCACATGCTGGCTGATTGTGCTGTATCTACAAGGAAACTTAAGGGTCATACATGCTGATAATGTTCTAGATACTCAGTAGAAGGCAATGACATGTTTTAATGCATGAAATGCTATGTAAAGTCTGCTGTCTCCTCTTCGAGTTTCTGTGTGGGTTTTTTTTCCTTGAATGAGAACAGAGGGTTGGGTTTTTTGTTTGTTTTTTTTAGAGAATAGCTATTTTTTGGCCAAAACTAGCTTCCATTGTCATTGTTCATTCAAAGAGCATGTGTTCTCTTGTAAGCTAGTTGCTTTCCTGGCTGATGGCCTCCTGAGTTGCTTCAATTCAGGAGAGAAGCAGAGCATAGTTTTTCAGTGTGATGTTAGTACAGAAGTGTGGAAAATAGGAATTAAATTAATTTGCAGTAAAGACTTTAAAAAAAACACAGCAGTTTCTTCATCTACAGTAGTCTTTGTCATATTCAATATGGATTTTGCTCTTTTAAAAAAAAAAAAAATTACAAGAGGATTTTTATAGAAGTGCAATTAAAAGAGCTTTGTTCATCCCTAATTGCTGTTGCAGATCTGTTAAGTGTGGCTAGATGCTGCTGTCGGAGAAGGGAGCAGTAAACCAAAACCTCAGGCCAGTCATGCTTGAGATGAAGCCAAGCCTCATGTCCTGCATCATCTGAAAACAAAATTGTACAAAGACTGCCCATGTGGAATCCTTTCCTATTTGCCTCTAACAAACTTCTATCCTCTTGTTTTCTTTAAGCCGCGCCCAGAGCGCTGGTTCCTGTGGCGGCGGGAGATGGTGCTGTGCACACACCTCTCCTCGTGCGAGATGAGCAGGGGGATGTGCTGGAGCGCCTCGATGTCGTGCTGAGAAACATTGCAGAGCTCAGGAAAGAAGTGGAGGAGCTCCGAAACAGCCTGCAGCACTTGGCTGTGGAAATCGTTGGTGAAGTCAGGTATCGCCCTGCCCCTTTCTGTCTTTCTCTACTGTTGCATGTATTCACTCCACAGCATGGTAAAACAGCCATGATTGAGGATGTTAAATTTAAAATCCCAAAGTGGAAAGAGTGTCTGTCTAGTTGCTACTGGCATCGTGTCTTGATCTCCAGTGAGATTAATGTAAAAAAAGTTTTATGTTTAGCCAAAGTTGGGTTTTTTTTCTTACAGAAGCAAGTGACACTTACTTCGTATTCTGGCTTGGGAAGGTTTTTTGTTCTGTAAATGTTTCTGTCTTGTTACTGCTTTTTCCTCTCTAATTGCTGCCAGCTGTAGGTAACTGGATATAGAAGAGAAGGTCCTATATCTGCAAGGTGTTTCAGGATTCCTTTGTCTCTGTTCATTGAGGAAATAGGAGGAATGCATGTGATAGCATCACCCCTTTGTGTGTGGATTCTATATGGGTTGTATATGGACCAAGACTGTGGTCACACTTGCTTTAGCTCCAGAATGCGGGATTCAATGTGTAGTAGCGGGATGTTGGTGTAGGCAAGATTAAGTCCCCTTGTGAATTCTTTGGGTATAAAGCAAATTGGATAGAATCTGCTAGAGAGGAGAAGGGAGCTGAAGTAGCAGACGTTTCACTATCAAACGTTTATTTGTTGCTCTTTTTGCCTTCCTCAAAGGTCCCATCTGGAAGAAACCCAGAAGGTAACTCGCCGGAGGCGGTTCCCGTTTCCTAGAGAAAGAAGTGATTCCACAGGCTCCAGTTCAATTTATTTCACAGCCAGCTCAGGAGCAGCTAATACGGATGATGGTGAAAGTGAAGGAGGGTAAGCAGAGCACCAGGATAGAGCTGGCTTTCAGCAGCCTTGGTGCCCAGCTACTTACATCTGAGCAGTTGATAACGTAAATGCGGGGATGTTCCCCATGAGGTGTCTGTCCTGTTTTATTTGCTTTTATTACAGTAAGTTTACTACTGCCAGGGCCAGATTGAGAGAAGTGCAACAATTCCAACTTTCAGAGAAAGGGGAGAAAGAAACCCTACTTTTTGAGGGGGTTTTGTTAAGCAATGATTTGGTTAGGGAACCTTGCAGAAGGAAGGGAAGTAGAAATCACGAGACTTGACTGAGAAAGCTTATACAGAAAATTTCCATACACTCGAGAAAGTTAAATATATTTCAGTTAATTAAAATGTCTTCAGCTAGGATATTTCTTACAGATTTTTCTTAATGCGTCACACTGATCAGTTGTGTTGCTTACATTCTTATAGTCTAAAAACAGGTGAAAAGTACCAGGTAGTTCAAGAACATTGGTAAAATTACAATACAGATGCAAGTATTGCCACATTAGATAGCTAACAAGAGGTCTACTGCATACATGTGACTGCTGCCTTTCTGTTGAAACGCTCTTTTGTGACTTAATAGGATGAATTCTGTAGCTTTTGAGGTGTGTAAGTGTTCTAAAACATGCAGCACTGCCCATATATGTTTTCCCGGAGAAGTTGAAATGTAATTTAAATAGAAGTTAATTACAGCACTGAGAACAGAGCAGGCAGAACATGGACATGACATGCTGTTCGTTAGCAGCTTAATGATGAGTCAGCTGGTGCGAACTGACACTTGGTAGCACGAGTTTGTAATCAGGGGACAGGGCAGGCGTTACTGCAGCTGCCTCCTAGAACAAAGGAGACGGATCCGCGGGAAAACGGGCTTTGTGACTGCCATAAACCCCCATGGTGTTAGTGCTTTATCTTTAGGAGCTGGAATTGGTGAAGCAGGAAAGAGCAGCTGTGATCTCATTCAGGTTATAGAACTGCTTCGTTCCCCTGGAGTGGGTGTTCGTATGAAAGCAAAATTAGGGAGCAAGTGATTCACGATGGTGTCATAGGTAACAAGGCTGCAGAACAAATTTTAAAACTATATAGTTTTGAAGATAAGACCTTGCTATCTAGATAATAACAGATGCACTGAGTCATCAGGGTGCTGATGCGTTTTGTAAAGCATGCTGAAAATGGTGGTCTTTTTCAACTGATACCAGGCCTAGGTGTCATCTGATCCTGAGAAAATCTGAAATCACAACAGAGGCCAACAGCAATTCTAAGGTTCAGAGCAGCCTTCTCCTTAGGGGGCCTCAAGGAGCTGTGGAGCAGGGATCTGTTTTACTGCAAAGCCTCATTACTTTCTTGGGAACCCAGTGATGGTTGGAGGAGTTCTTACCTTTTGTTTAAAATCTGTAATTAGGTTTAATGACCATTGTGGAGAACTAGTGGAAAAGCAGCTCTCATTTAAAAAAAAAAATAATTTCTCACTCTGCTATTTGTCCTATACAAATAGGTATAATATTAGTCTATTCAGGACCATCTACCTTTAGTGTGCAGTATTGTCTTTTAGAGATGTAAATACTAAAATTTTCTAATAGAAGATCGGAGTAGGAAATGTAAATTTTGGAAAAGACTATTCAAGCCTTTTAGCAGCCACTGGGAGGAAGAATGAGACTGTTCTCAACAGATACGTTTCAGTGGCGTATTCATTTCTGGCAGTTGTGATCTTTTAATGACATTCAGAAAGAGGAGCTCACATTTCAGCTTTATTTTGTAAACCACATGGACATAAGCATCTTCTCTGATTTCATATACAATTTACAAAAATCATCACGAGCTTTCAGGAGCCCAGAGGTCTTGGGCTGCTTCATTTTTCTCTATATTGCTTTGGCACTTTGTTGGATTTTTGGGCTTCTTTGCTTCCCCTTTCCATGTGCTTTTGTGTTCCAGATGCATGTTTTCATTTTCATTCAGGATGTCTGCTAGCCAGAGGCCTCAACATCCTAAAGCATTTAAGAACTTTCCATCATTGTAAACTTGAGAGAACAGGCTGATAACATCTAAATCCCTTAATCTTTCTGAAAACTGTGTTTATGAAGTTATATACAGCGTTACTTGTCTTTTTAAACTGGCAGCATCTTGGAGAAAACACATTTTTGTGGTGGAGAAAAAGAGTGTATAGGAGCCATCCATTGCTGTCTGGTTTTAAAGACTATATTGTGTTTCAGGAGCCATCGGTGTGGAAAGTGTTTTTCAGCAGAAGCACTGAAATCTTTGCAGGTGTCAGTAAAATGTTGTAGTGTAGTGAGACTGTCACAGCTGTGTAGCCCACAACTGTGCTTCATAGTAGCTTAGGACAGGAAATAAGAGAATTTTAGGAGTTTCTGTTTGAGTATGGAAAATGAGGTAGTCTACAGAATTAATATTATCATTAATCTTAAGAAAATACCAATAAATGAAGCTTTTCATCTCAGTTGGAGCTGTGCCAGCGTCACCTACTTCCATGTTGCTGCATTATCCATTAATTTAGTGCTGCCTATGTCATCTCTAGCATGTCATCTTGTAGCACTTGGTTTCCTGACTTTGCAGAGATAAGGCTGACTCTTTAGTTCTTGTCTTAAAATGTTTCAGTACAAAGTGGTGCATTTTGAAATTTACAGTGAGGGTGGGAGGCTGTGGTGAGTGAGGGTGTGTGTTTACCCTCTACCAGAGAGGGAAACACTTGAACATTATTGATGCTTCTCAGAAAATTGAAGCTTTGATAACCAAACGTGTCTTGTTATCTATGTGTGGCCAAATTACTGTAACTGCTTTTTTCCGATATGGACTTTGGTCACATATCTTTGTCTCCAGACAAAGTCAGCTTCACATGCAGCGCCAGGCTCTCCCTTGGAGGAGGAATTCAGCCAGGACAAAGGGGAATGCAGCTGTAGTTACTGAGTGCCTGCAGACTGCAATGACTTTTAATTCTTGCAGAACCTGTAAAGTTGACTTGGGCAGAGCTTAATTGGGTAACAATTACAAACATCCCCTAGAATTAAGCATTTAAGGGGTTTGAAGCAGTTTGCTTCAGGAAGAGAGCTTTCTATTCACATAAACCAACAAAACCTGAATAGAAAAGTGCACATTCTTAAATTACTGGTTGACTTGCGCTTGTTCTTCAGTTAAGAGCTTGCAGATAAATGTGAAGGGGACAAATAGAGACTTGTCTTTTAAAATAAATGAGTGTAAGTAGACACACCCCTGCAATGGTATCAGTGAATATATAATGCTGGTTTAAATTTCCAGCATAGATGCCTGTATATGACTTTGAGGAGCTTAATTTTAGCCATTTTCCGCAACTTTGATCTGAGCTTTATCCTGGTTCATTTGAATAATTTAGCAGCTAATCATTGCCTGGGGTTTTGTACATCTGGTGTCTTTTTGTGACTTGTCTGCTGTCTCCGTGCTGGACTTCTTGCTGATGTGAAATAGTTTTGGTCGCTCTCCCACTGGTTTGCACCTTTCCATGTGTCAGTGTGAACAAGCTGTTTCGTATTTAGTGCTCAGACAAGATGATGGAGATACTAGATACTGCCAAAACAGTCATTGTGTCTGAAATTTCCTGGAACAGGCTAAAAACCTCAGGTTATATTTTCCACATGGATGAGTGTGTTGGATTTTTTGTTGAAATTCTCTTTTATAATCCATACATTTAACTGAATTGTCCTGGCTCTGTTTTAGTTGTTTAATTCTCTTACACTGAAGTTAGAAGGCCTAAGAGAAGCTGCTACAGTGTTGTGGATGCTTGTGACTGAGTTGTACTTAACTTCTTGGGGGCTTTTCTTCAGCTTTTTGAGACTGTGTATAATACATGAGAAATAACAATTGCTGTGTTGAGACACTGGGACTGTACAGTATTTTCCAGGATAAGATAATCCTCTTCCTCTGTTGGGAAGAGTTATTTTTTCTGTACAGTATGTATAAAAGTGTTACAGGCTGTACAGCATCTCCTCAAACTAATTTTGTGTTGGTTGTGTTTTTTTTCCTTAAAGGTACACCACAGCCAATGCTGAGTCTGATTACGACCGGGAGTCCGAGAGAGAGAGCGAAGAAGGGGAGGATGAAGTGAGCTGTGAAACAGTGAGAACTGTGCGGCGGGATTCCCTGGATCTCGTCACCGAGGATGAAACACATTTAATGTTAGATTCCTCACTGGAGGAAGGACTGGGTCAGCTACTGCAGCAGGCTGACCGCTTGCACGACGGAGATGAGCAGGAGAAGAGAGAGGGATTCCAGCTGCTGCTGAATAATAAACTGGCGGTAAAGGTTGCTTTTTTTTATATTTTCCAGCAGTGATTTGTGTTTTCAGCTAAGTAGCTGGGAAAGAGGAAATTGCATATCTTAGAGTCTGGGTCCTACACAGCAACTGAGCCAGCCTCCAGTGGCCCCCAGTTTCCAGTGGCCCCCTTCCTCAGGAGCAGCCTGGGAGCGGGCTGGACGCCAAAACTCTTGAGGCCACAGCAGCAGCAAGTTCCCAGTCGCTTTCTGTCTTGGAATTCTGTGCCTCATCATGTCATCACTTTGGGTGAACGCACTGTACATGTATAAAGTACCAGTACTGTGTGTATACAGTAAACTCAGCAAAGGTTTTGGGAGCGATTACCTCGTTACATAGGTAATGGCTCGATCTATAGTCAGGAAATTTGGTCTTTCTGAGGACTGCCTGGTGCACCTGTGTTTATGAAATAAGTTGTGTATTCAAACAGAAGGGTTAGGCAATAGCTTAGGAGTGGGTTAGTTAATGAGATTAAAAACCTGGATAGTGCAGGTGTTTTGCTGCCTTCAAGAATGTGGGGGTTTTTATACTGTATCGGGGGTGTGAATTGGTCCCCTGATTTGGTGAGCGTTGGTGCTGCCATTGGGGTGTGGGACTGTGGCAAGGGGCAGTGATGGTTTTACTCTGTGCTGCAGATAACAGCGTATGTATATATATGGTGATAATATATATATACACAGACATTACCTTGTATCTCTGGCCCCAGGCAGTGGATGCACCCAGCGCTGACACGTGTCTGGCTGTCGGTGTTGTGTCCCGCTGGGACCCGCTGCAGTTGCACCCGCAGCCTCTGTTGGGGTTTAGAGAAGTGCTGTGTAGCCAACAAAGCCGATGTTTTGGGTTACCAGCCTTTTAAAGAGCGAAACATTTTTTTGGGTCCTGTATTTCTGGGAGGAACAGAAGGAAAGAAATAACAGCTAACTTGATTGGTTCTAATTTCAAGTAGACTGGGGTTTTTCCTTTCCACCAGGAAGAAGTGACAGGCCTGTTGGGTTCTGAGATTCTCTTGCATCTTTCTTTCTGGTGATTCTTCCAGTTTCTTTTCTTTACAATGCTATAACAAAAGAAACCAAACTGTTAGGTGATTGTGTTTCAATTTTCTACTTTTTTTTTTTTTAATGTTTGAGTTTGTCAGAACATATCTGCTTCAAATTTAGTGAGTTTGTCAGAAGGCAGCTGCTTCAAATTTAGCAGTACACCTACAGTACTGTCCCGGGTTTAAGAATGAGGCAGGATGTGAAACTGAATGCAGACTGAACCATGAAAGAAGTAAAATTCAGTTTGTGAATTTTAATGAGGTGGTGAGGTTTAGGGGTTTTTTTTCCCCAGTGTTTTGAGGTTAGCAGAGACTGCTGAAGAACTGACCTCGGTGGAGGCATTCCTTTTTAGAAGGCAGCAGCAATTAGACCCGTACCAGTGGTGTAGCACTGTAAGCTTAATTATAAACCTGGCCATCTACTTTGCTCTTCTGTGATTCTGCTTCGGTTTGTGTAGAGTTGGAGCCTTTCAAGGTTTGAAAAAAAAGTCTGTGTCACTTCCACTACATGCGCCCACTTGATTTTTTTTCTTTCTCATGCTCTTTGTCAGTGGCAGAATGAGTTCTGATACATAACATTTATGTTTTTGCTGCAGTATGCGGACCAGAAAGACTTTCTTTGGCGCCTGGCCCGAGCACACAGTGATATGTGTGACATCACGGAAGATGCAGATGAGAAGCGATCGTACGCGTCTGACGGTGAGGAATTATTTGTGTTGGGCAAGGGAAGGGGATGGGCAAAGCTGACATGACACCTCAGGTTTATAAACCCTACACTTGCAAACCATGGGGTGGATTGATTGTTTAATCTTGCAGTCTTTTTTTAGGTGAGTAGCTAGCAGTGCTGGGGTGGTATGTGTTTAAAAATCTTGCTTTCTGGAAGATAGTGTAAATAGACCAAGGGCTGGTTGAAGATGTAGGTTTGTTTCGCAGACATCATCCATATCCTGTGTGGTATTAAGACAAAAAGTTTTTGCTGTAATTTAATTTTTTGTGTTGCTAACACATGTAGATATAAAAAAGAAACATATTTTTAAATGTCTGTTTACTTAGAGGAATTGGTTTAGTTTCATTCCCTCATTGTACTTCATTAGCTCGAGTGTGGTTTGCAAGGCTGTGGGTCAGAATATAACAAAAATATCATCTTTGTTACAGTTAAGATGTGCAACAAAAGATACTATTCTAAATAATGTGTCCTGTTTATTATGCACATAACTAAATATAGTTAGTTAATACTACAACTATCTAATATAATTATTCTTTTCTGGAAATCAGTGTAGCCATTTAAAACATGACATTTTATTTTTGATAGTCTTTTTAGCCTTCAGTAGGCACTCGGTTTTCAGCTTTTTGAGACTGCATGTTCTTGGAGGAGAGAGGGGGAGGTGGGGAGGGTCCTCAGTCTGAGGCTGTGAAACTCATCAGAACAAAACCCCTGAAAGCTCAAATTAACTTTTCTTAACACAGTGTGGAAGATGTTTTCATTAGAGATAACATTGCTTTCGAATGAGTGAAACCATGTTGACAGGTCAACACAATTTGCTATTGTACTAAAAGTCTTTGTGATCTCTTTGAGTGGCCTGGATGTTCTGTATCACTGCCAGAGCATGAAATTATTTATGGGACATTTTCAAGCCAAATGTATTATAAAATGAACAAATATATGACTTTTATGGCATTAGATTATTGTACTCAAAGAGCCTCAGAGAAGGACGTTAAGAGAGAAAGTGGCTGAATTTCTCTCTGACAACTTATTTACAGGGAAAGAAGAGATAGAAGTTGCCTTACAGAAGTGGGATCGAAGCGCTGAGTGCCATCAGTGGTATGTAACTTCTTACTTTTAAGAAGGATGGGAAAAGGACTTGGAGATTGTTGTGAGCTGAGCTGCATTTAAAAACAAACAAAGAAAAGCTTATTTGCCCTTACTTGGCGTATACTATATTGATGTTATTTTCTGTAAAAAGCTGTTTTTAACAGCTTTGGTTAATTGGCATAAGTAATGGCTTGACAGACAGTAGCTTTGGTTGTGATTATCATAATAAACTTTGCTTTGCTTACTCAGTGTAATTATGGATTTCTCTCTGATGGCCAGAAGAGTTCTTGAGCAAAAGCTCCCAAATAGAATCATGACCTTTGAATGTTCAGGACAGATCATATCAAGGCTTTTATGAGTCTGCACCCAACAAGCCGATGAACTTTGGTGGTAGTGGAGGATGAACTTCCAGATAAGGTCTGGAGGAACAAGTTGTTGACAGAACAATTTTGAGATGAATAAGTAAATAAGTACAAGCTGCATTTGGTGTTCACAACTGCCCATTCTTTGGGCTACTCGCAGATTAAGCGCATATGTTTTGAAAAGGTGAAGGAGATTTTGTTTAGGAGCTTTCCTGGGAATTGTGCGGTTTCCCTTGCTGAGGGCATAAGACGGCAGCTGGCTCGGCAGCTGGCGCTGGGGCCGTGAGCGTGCCTGGGTGGGGTGCTGGGAGCAGCATTGGCATCGCTCCTGCCTGCGCAGACCCTGCACATCTGAGCGCCCCGTTCGTGCTGAGTGTAGATGGGCTGCCAGAGGGAATGTTTCACGCAGATAACTTGCAGAAAGCTAGTTCCTCAGTGTGGTGAGGCTCTCTTCATTTTCTTTCACAAGTCCTCTGTTTCCCTTGGCCCCTTTTCAGCTCCCTGTAGAGAATGTGTACGTCCCTCAAAGCCAAGCTCACAGCCAGCTGCACAGCTGTGGGGGCAGAGACTGAACAGTTACATACTAAATATGAATGAGGTTTTTCCTTTCTGTTCCTCCAACATTCTTACGTTAATTATTGGCTTTTACTGTGTCATTGACATTTCGATAATGCTCTGCCGTGCAGAGATGCTTGCTTTCTGTCAAGAGGTGATATATTTGCCTCAGTCAGCTAGGCCTGCAAGCGTGGGCTTAGTGCTGTGCCAATGTTCTTATATTCATCTTAATTCTGGAGTAAGTAGAAACATTCTCAGACAGCCTTTTATAGTCTTCTGGCCTGGCACTTCTGTATTCTGCTCACAGGTGCTGCTTGTCACTCTGCAAAGCACTCTGGCTTTGAAATGAGTTGAGACAACAGCATATGGCTCCTTTTTTTTTTTATGGTAAAAGATGAAATGATCTGCAGTTTAGCCAAGCAAGGTGTGCTACATTTCTATAAATGCTGCAGCTGGTCAGGATTTCAGTGAGGAGGTAGGCAAGAGGAAAGGTACCTTGTTCTCTTCAGCAGCATGAATGAACAGGCTTTGGTTGCACCTCCTGTGTGGGACTGCAAGGGTTGCTCCCTTTCCTTAAAAATACCCCAAGAGCATGCTTTGAGAGGCTGCAGGTATTTGTGGAGATATGGGAATGTGCTTTTCTGTTATTCTGGCAAATTCCTTGACAAACAGTGTTTATCAGCAGTTATTATGAAGGACTGACATGTAAAATAAATTACAAGAGAAAATTTTTTTATGGATATTTTTGGGAAAACAGGATGCTGCTCAGTATCTTTACCGAACAAGATCTGCGTGCTTCTGAGATGAGTAAATTTATTTAGAGGATCCATTTGTACTACTGACATCTGAACAAATGCCTTTATTGTCTTGAAAAGACTGTATTTTAGCTCTTAGTAATGACTTGCTGTTCTCAATTAAAGCTTCAATATGAAGGAAGAATACTGGGACAGGCAGTTTGGCAAATATCTAGCAGATTACAGTGTTCGGCTTTGTCTGCTTGAAGGATGGGTTTTAGTTGCCAAGTTGAGTCTTAAGGTTTGTAAGCCACTTTGATACTTGATCATTTGGTATTTTACAAAGCAAGGTTCTACTTCAGGGTATAATATTGATGGCTTAGCTCTAGTCCAGAGGTTACAGTGTGCAAAGTAATGGCTGTAATGGGAGGTTCAGTCACGTTTCTCCAGTAGAAAATCTCAAGGCTTTTGAGCTGAGATGTTCTCAGTGCCTCTGTTACAGCCTGTGCTCAACTCTTCCCCCAGCGCTTTTGGTGAAAGAGGGCACAATTTTGGGCCCCCAAACAGGGGTAAGGCTTCTGCACATCTACATCTTGCTTTTAATTCTAGAGAGCAGCTGCAGAAAGCAAATAGCAGAGCAGCATGTGGGAGGCATGGGATTTATTGGAAATGAATATGCAACTACCTTTATCAGTCACAGAAATAATTATTTTTCTACCACGAATAGAACAGGAAATGATTCCTTTTCCAGCTCTGTATGGGTCATGGGATGGTCGCAAGCTTGTTCTAACTGCAGTCTCTTTTTATGCTAATTGAATTTACCCTGAGAAGAAAATTATCGCTCGTGAAATGATGCTTAATACATGGAAAGATACATATATATGAAAAATGTAGGATAAAACATAGTTCCAAAAGACATTATAGGTCATTTTCCCTTTACTCAAGTAATGGGCGTATGGCTTAGAATGATGTTTAGTTCACTGTGCTGCAATGTTTAGGAAAATATTTAAAAAAAAAAAAAAGGAAAGAATACTGTGATTGCTTCCCTTCATCCTTGCTGCCAGCAGGGAGTGGCACAGAGGTGAGTTCATCCTGCCATGGAGCTGTCCCCCACCAACCTGTGTAACCTGGTTTTAGCCCCTTGGATCCTTCCGTTCCCATACTGTCTGCCGGTACAGATCCCGTTACTTAACGTGCTCTGTGCAGCGAAAACCCACTTAATCAGTCTGAAATTGCCATTAGAGGTTTTAAAGCTTTTTTGGTTTTGATTTGATGCCCTGGCTCTTGGTTTATGGAGAGGTGAGGAGAGTGATTGTTCATCCTTTCTTTCTGAATGACAGTTTTATTCTGTCATATTTCTCTCCTTAGTGTCTGTTTCCCTTGTTGAAGAATCTGAATCTTTTATTATCTCTTTGCATAAGGAATCGTTTTATTATCTCTCATCACCCATGTTGTCTTTCCCATATTATTCTCTTGCTACCATGTCTTTTTTTCAGACAAAGTACAGGAATCCACTGCAGAACACAAGCTGTGGGAGCAGCATGGATTTGTGCAATACTAACGTGACGATCCTTTTCATCCTTACTTCCATATACAGTAGTTAACGTTCTTTCTCTTTTCCACAACACACTAAACAGACATTTTAATAGAAACATTCCCCGTGATTTTAATGTCTCTCCATGTGGTACAGGCTCTCTGAAGCCTGTGATCGTGTAGGTACCATTAGCGCCGCATTTTTTCTTGTGTGTTATTTCAAGTTGACTGTAATATGCTATTTTATCAGTTGCCATTTAATGCTCATGGATGACTAAAGCTGCAGTTGTGCTGGTTTTCGGTGCTTATGCATTGTTCTCTAGGCTGTATTTTTTGCTTCTGTTGCATAGATCATTCCCTCTTTTATTGCCTTTAAGGTGTGATGCTTGTCAGGCAAGACAGAAGATACTTCGCATACAGTCATCATTGCAAGTGAAATTTTTCCCCCTATCTCAGCGCCTCATAGTTTTTGCAGTGATGACTGACATTTTAAAGCAACAAAGAAAATAACTTTGAACAAGGGGATTTCTGAGTGCTGGTAAAGGCAGTGCTGAGGCGAGTGTGATGGGCTGCAGTGTCGCAGTGTTCTCTGGCTGACTGGTTCGATGGCTTTGGCAGCGTGGTAGTAAGTGGTTTCTCAGGAATGACAGAGGAAGCAGTAAGTGTCTGGGACAGTGTCTGGGCTAGCTTTGGGATCTGCCCAAGCATGAAGGATTGTCCTTTCATGGATCTCTTGGGTCTTCTTGACATTCGCTTTGGTACAAAGCTGTTATTGTAGTGACTTGTTCTGGGAAGTCGGCTGGTCCCAGGAGAGCCATCTCTGCAGAGCTGGTCGAAACAGAACTGACATTTGATCAGGGCTGCACAGACAAGTTGGCCTTTGTGCAGTGGGACTGATCTCCAGCAGTGCTTTTCCCCTAGGCACCACTTAGGAATGTAGAAATGTGAGAGTTGTGTTGGGCATTTGATGCGTTTAGTACCTTTGGAATAGATCTGTGTCTTGTAGGCTGATTGATTTTATACCAAGTGTTCTTCATGCCTGTATACTCTTGTCTTATAATTACCCAATTCTTACTTCTGATACAGACATCAAAGTCATTCTCCACTTTTATTGTAAAAGATCTCTGGACAGATAGATATTATGTCTAACTAAACTGAATGCTCCCTTAGGTAATTTCAGCTCATGAAGAGGAGGACAGAACAAGTTCGTAAGTCTGTTCTTGGGGTGGATGGAAGAGGCATCGATCGTTACACAAGCCTGTGCTAAAACAAAGCTGCTTAGACATGAATACATGATATCCTCACAAATGAGGTGAGGGAAAGAATTGTGGCCTTGTTAGAATCCCCTGTCCGTTTTGGTGGGGCTGTTTGCAGTGCAACTGCAGACACGTAACAGCAGCTTTAGGGATCAGGAAAAGGATAGTGAGCTGTGTGTGTGCCTTGGCTTCTGCTCCATCTGTTAAAAGAAATATTGGAAGTACAACCAGAGCAGCAAGGGGTTTCAGAGGTCCATCTGCGAAAAATTTTGCGGGTACTGTATTAGCAGCTTTTGTTTGAGCTGAATATTTCACATTGAAATTAAATGCTATTTGCTGACAGCTGTCACTGCAGAAGAAGTAATGAGCTGTGGCCCTCTTGGAGATATTATACAAGTTACAGGGAAGCAGGAGGAAGATACGTTCTTGGGTTGGATGAGCCTCCAAAATGTGCCCTCTCTTCTAAAGACTGTCACTTTGGTGGAGCACTTCACATGCTCGATAGCTACTGAATTGTGCACCAGCCCTTTTAAATTCTGTTGGTACATCTGGCTATCCGTGGGTAGATA